GATTGTCACAGCCATGCCCTTCTGGGTGGCGAGTGATGGGGCTGCAGACATTGACGCCGGTAAGGCGAGTTTTGCTTGGGTTCTGGCAGACAATCGCGGTCAGATTGTGCTTCGGTGCTCTGGTCCAGTTTTTGGTATGGTTCCGACTTCCTACAGGGCGGAGGCTTATGGCATTCTATCCCCCACTTGCCTTCTTCGGCGATTGCTGGAGTTCTATGACCAGACCATCATGAAGAATTATGTTCACCTATGCGACAATGAATCTGTCACAAACAAGTGTGCTGGGTGTCTGGATTACGAGGGCTGGTACCCCAATGATTCCTTGAACTCCGACTGGGATGTCTTGCAGCAGATCGAGGAATCGTAATGCAATACACGGCTCTTAGCCTTATTCGCGACTCGATCCTAGATAGGGTCTGAGTTCGACTCATGACGTAGTCCTTCGCGAATAGTCATTGGAGACAGGGTTCTCAATGACCGCTCTAGTCATACTAGGTTGATGATGAAACATCGCTCTAGATATTTAGCCAGCGTGGAGTACTTCCACGCTACTAGATAAATGCTAGACGAATCTTCCACGCGTTCCGTTTTTGGATCGTGGAGTGAGTAGGATTGCTACCGCAACCTACTCTATCACACTCTACAGTCTCCCGCGGGAGTTCAGATCTACGATCCTTTGATTGTGGATCTCTCTCGTTGATTAGTTTTCATAGCTTTCTAATCCTCTCATAACTTTCATTCTCTCAAACTCAAAACACTCGAAAGATCTTTACACTAGCTTTTAGCGTAGTGCATTTTGTTAACAAACACAATAGCTTTCAGCTACCCTCAACCTATTCCTCACCATGAAGATTGCCAAAGACGCATACACCAGCTTCGAGTCTAAGCTGCGCGACAAACCAATCCTTCCTCTCATCGACCTCGACGATGAATGCGAAATCGACGATTCTCGCTCTACCACCTACAAACTTCGCACTGTTCCAGCAGATGCTAACAGCGCCAAGTACACCTTCAAGGTCCAAATCATCAATGGATCTGAGACTCCACGTCAGACCATCAAGTGGGCTGGACGTATGGAGAAGGTCTTCGTCGGGCTTGCCATTGCTACGCCTGGCGACAAACACAACCTCCTCAAGGAGATGACTTCTAGCTCTGCCAAGAGCAGTTACGAATCTAGCTGTGCAGGCCATCGTGAAATACGTTGGAATGCCTTGCGCCAGATTGCAGTCAACGGGATTGCTCCACGCGATGTACGTGGCGGCGAAGACGAAGCCGCTTTCCAAGTACGTTTCCAGGCTGCCTGGAACGGAGCAGCTCAGCCTGCTTTGGACGATGCTGACATTACGTTTGGCATAAATGCCTGTATCGAAGCGGTCTGTCCCTACAAGGCTCTTGAAAAGCAGAAACGCTTCATGCGCCGCAAGATGCGTAAGCCTGCTGATATGTCTACTGGGCTTATGTCAACAACCTCAGTCGGATGAACACCGATGAACTTCCTCGTCTACCAAACCTTTTGGACCCAACCAAACGTTGAACCATGACGAAGCATTGACATTGTTTGTCATGGAATCCACGCTCGTGGATGAAGAAGATGGACGAACACGACTTCGATCCTTTCTCAGCTCCTATCGGAGAAACCATTGATTCTGCGAACGCATGGAATCCTCCGAAGACTTTGACAAGGCGGTGATGCCAAGCAAGCTCCTTCGAAGAAGAACAACAGCAAGAAGTAACAGTCTACTCGCAACAACGACCATCTTCCAAACGAAGAAAAGTGGTGTGATTACCACGAGTCCAGCACTCAACACTGCTGACTGCATGACTCTGAAGAAGCTCAAGGCCAAGTCTCAGTCCTCTCTGACAACGATAACAAGCCAGCGTACAACAAAAACAAGACTTGGAAACGCAAGTCCGCGACCCCAAACCTACACCAAAAAGGAACTCTCTGTCCTCATGAAGAAGTTTCCAACGCTGCGGTAAAGGCTGATCGCAAGAAGAAAAGCGAATGCAACCATGTTGCCAAACGCAAGTCAGACAACTCCGACAACGAGGACGACTCCTCTGTTGGATCCATCAACATGATGGACAAGAAAATGGCTGCCGTTGACAAGGCGCTTGCCGAATTCGACTTCAATCATTCGGATGGAGAGATCTCCGTCTGAGGATTAGGCCAGGATGATGATTCAACGGAACCATGTTCCGATTTCTCATACTAAGTGATGAAGATATCTCACTAAATAGTAAACAAGATTTGTTTGCAACTAACGAAGTCTACGACCACTCAACTAGACACTGACGATCTGTTACGCATCGTTAACTTCGTCCATGCCAATCAACTCATCAACGTCGCAAACAAGAGACCTCGAAACTATCGTCTATGTTAGATTAACAAGACGAGAGAAAGGGAAACAAAAACCCGTTACACTCTTTGCTTACTGGATACAGAAGCATCCGGAACTTTAATTACTCAAACTCATCTAAGAGTTTACTCATGAAGAATTGGGGCGTCCAAACATTCGGACTGCTTCTATGAAGGAATGAAACCCCGCACGAAGTGTAAGGGCACACTCGCGATTCCTGAGTTCACGATGATAGAATTATCAAATGGAATTTAACGTCACCAAAAACTTGGGGGCGCAAGACGTGATCATAGTCAAGACACTCTCTCGACTAAGAATCAAGTTTGATTTCACTCCATGTCATTGGGGTGGAACCAGCATTTTTCCCGGCGAAAGAGAGCAATACCAATAGAAAGGAGACTTCTCCATTTCCGATCCTGCAGCTGTCAGCGACAATGCAGTAGTCTCAAGAAGATTCTTGATACGACATACGAACAAATAGACTTAAGCAGATTGCCAGAGTCGAAACCCGTAAATAAGGAAGAGCAAGAACTGCCTCATGCCTTTTCAACCAAGTGCTTCGACCCAGTCGAGATACTTTGGGAGAGTTGCGAATGGAGACTACGAAGTAGAACTTCGTCCCGACGTTAAATTCCTATTACACTAGGCTCACCCTACTCACGGGTCCAATACCAACACTCTAAGAAGGAGGTTGAAGCTCTGCAAGACAGGAGTACTCAAGAAGGTAATCGTTCCAAGTGGGCGCACCAACTTTACATTCCCAAGAAAGAGGATCTGACGATTCATCTCTGATCTTCGGAACCGAACAAGATCAAGCGGAAGCCTTATCTATCCCAAAATACAGGACATGCTCTGAACCTAGATGGATTCAAGTACGCTACTAGTCTAGACCTGAACGTGGGACACTACACATCGAGCTGTCCCTCACTCGAAGCAACACTGTACCATCGTACTCCCGAAGGGAAAGCACGAGTACCAGAGGTTGCCAATGGGCCTATGTAATAGTCCCGACATCTTCCAAAGGAAGATGAAAACACACATGCATGACTTAGACAATGTCCGTGCATACATTGATGATCAACTCATCCTAACTAACAACGATCTGGTAGATCACGTTGAATAGTTAGATGAATTTTTCCAAAGACTTCAAGAAGTCGGAATCAAAATCAACACTACCAAGTTCTTCCTTTCGAGGAAGGCCTTGAGTATCTAGACCATTGGACTACTCGAGAAGGAATCCAACCCTTAACTACAGGACAATAGATGCAATCCAGCTATCGCTCCTCCTACGAACAAGAAGGAACTTCGTGGATTCATTGGACCAATGAACTACCAAGGTCTGCTCCAAGTCAGCAGACGAAGTAACCATCGTTCTAAGACAGACGTGGGTTACCCAGTTTCCATGACCAACCGAGGTTGTCATGGACAAAGAACGTGAGTTCCGTGCAGAGGTCGAGAAGACTCTCCGGGATGAACATGGGCTTCGTCGCAAGTTCACGCGCGTCAATCGTGACAAGATTCACAACATCCGTTTCGAAGCAAACTGGAAACACATCAAGGAACGTCGCCAGCGACTTATCCAGATAGAACGCGACACGTGTCCCTCATCAACACCATGTCAACGATACTATGATGATTCATCAGTATCAGCACCGCTAATACGGTCAGCCAAAGCACAAAGGTCCTTACCACACAGACCGAGTCAATAACAATGGCACTGTACGGCTCCGACATACTACCGCCAGTAGCGGCACAGTCTACCAGACTTGGAACATAAGGTATTTACACCCATACAAGGCCTGATCCCCTGTAGGATTGCCATCGTGCGACGCACATGTCTACATCCAATCTCCGGAGAGTGCCCCGCACTTTAATTCATATGTTCTCCTTGTCCGACTGATGTCGTGCCTTCCGTGACCCTTGTCAGGGGGCGAATGCAATACACGGCTCTTAGCCTTATTCGCGACTCGATCCTAGATAGGGTTTGAGTTAGACTCATGACTGAGTCTTTCGTGAATAGTCACTGAGACAGGGTTCTCATGACCGCTAGTCATACTAGGTCGATGGTGAAACATCGCGCTAGATATTTAGCTTGCGTGGAGAGATTCCACGCTACTAGATAAATGCTAGACGAATCTGACAACGCGTTCCGTTTTTGGATCGTGGAATGAGTAGGATTGCTACCGCAAACCTACTCTATCACACTCTACAGTCTCCCGCGGGAGTTCAGATCTACGATCCTTTGATTGTGGATCTCTCTCGTTGATTAGTTTTCATAGCTTTCTAATCCTCTCATAACTTTCATTCTCTCAAACTCAAAACACTCGAAAGATCTTTACACTAGCTTTTAGCGTAGTGCACGAGGTACTCTCGGTCGACAGTGACGATGACTCGAAGAATGGTGACCAGAATCCTGGATCTCCACCCAGTTTGTCTGGACTTCCCGATGGATATGAGTGGAGGTTTGGTCCCGAGCCTGTTGATTACGACGAGGTTGTCGATCTTGATGAGAGCGAACCAGGTCACATTGAAGAAGTCATCGAGTTTCTTCTTGCGAAGGATCCTGCCCTTATCACAGACCAGGAAAACCACATCCTCAACTTCTACTTAGGTACCAAGCGTCCTGGTGCTGTCATTCCCATGGCCTGGGTAGCTGTTCGAAAGAACAAAACGTCTCCAACCAAATCTCCACCGAAGAAGCGTCGTGATACGAAACCCACTCTGGATTTCTGCAGATCGGCTGGTCGTTCTTTCTTTGCAAAGAACAATCAGGACTCCGAGCTGATGAACGACGGAGACTTATCCTCCAGTGAAGATCATGATGCTACGACGAGCAAACCTGGAGCTCAGAAAGGTGGAAAGGGAACCAGCAAGAACAAAGTCCGTTTCAGCAACGGGTCATCCGCTGCAGACGCAATTGACGTAGATGCACTCCTGGACGGCCAGCCCCAAGAAGAAAAGAAGCCAGCCGCGAAGAAGACTGGTGGGGGACCTGGAAAGTGTCGCAAGAAGAGGGAATCCACACCCTTCTTTACCAAGAAGAAACCCCCACCGTTCGCGTCCATTCCACTGCCAAGCAGCTCCGGATCTGACTCGGACACCGACTCGTCCGATGACAGTAGCTTAGACGAAATTTACAAGGAGTTGGCAAAGAAGAAGACCGTGCAGCGAAAGAGGAGGACTACCAAGAACAGGGGGGCACCTTCCCGTTCCAAGAAGAAGCCAGGAAAGAAAAGTGACGACACCCCAGAGAAGTGGAAGGATCGAAAGCAACGTGCCAAAGAACGTCACGAAGAGAGAAAAGAGGAGAGAAAGAAGAAGAAGGCGGAAGCAAAGGACGAGGAAATCGAGGAATCCATTACTCCACCAATGACTGGAGTGAAACCGAAGTATTGGAAGAGTTCGTCTGACTGGGAACAAGGTGCAAGACTACGTAACTGGAAGTCGGCATCCACAACCTACTCTCGTATGAATGGGTTTCCCGGTGCCAAGGCGATTCAGACCGTTCTGGAAACCGCCGCAGATGAGAGTGGAAAAGCCCAACTCCGTGGCTACAGAGTCTCATCTCCTACACTAGCACCAGCTGACAAGGCCTCTAGGGATGCTATTGTGAAAGCGGCAACTACAGTTATCCTGAAACTGGCTAAGGCGTCCATTATCCGCATGTTCCGTGATGATCCATCTCTCATTTACTACTTTGTTGATGTGAGTGCAGCCGGCGTCCGCAACACAGACCGGCCCCCCTCTCCTGTCCACAATGCCATTGCTGCCACTATGGGAGCCATCATGGACATGTTTGATCCCGATGAAGAAAACAAGGGAGAAGAAAAAGACAAGAAAAGCGGAAAGGGCGGCAAGAAGTGAAGAGTGGTAAACGGTCGTTGTTGTGTTCGCGTACATGTAATACCCCCCGCGATACCCAGCCAGTTTTTGGGCGCAAGAAGAATGTTAACTGTAGGATAAATAGTACTAGGCCTACTTATAAGACAGACAGAAAGTGGTCGCGGGTAGTCGCGTGTATTTGAACCAAATTTTTCTGGGGACCGAAATGGCCCTTAAGTAATTTAGATCTGGGTAATAGGGGAGGGTTTTTTAGAGCACCCGGAGCGTTCCTCAATCGTGCATGAAACAGACCCTAAAATAGGGTCGGATTTAGGGTCGGATTCCCTTTAGGGTCGGGTTTCGAAACCGACCCTAAAAATAGGGACGTTTTCTGAAAAATAGGGACGGTTTCTGAAAAAGCGTCCCTAATTTAGGTTCGGGTTTCATTTTAGGGTTCGGTTTGAAAAACGTCCCTAAATAGAAACGGGACTGCCTGGTAAATACATTGAAAACGCACCAATATTAGGGTCGGGTTTCGAAACCGACCCTAAAAATAGGGACGTTTTCTGAAAAATAGGGACGGTTTCTGAAAAAACGTCCCTAATTTAGGGACGGGTTTCGATTTAGGGTCGGGTTTCGAAACCGTCCCTATATTTAAGGGCAGATTCCCCAAACCGACCCTAAATTAGGGTCGATTTAAAGTCATGCACGATTGAGGAACGCTCCCGGAGTATTTTTGAAAAAGCGGGCTGGCTTTGGGTAGTCCCGGAGAGAGGATTGGGTGCCTCATGCCACGTCACAGGGGCGTTAGCTGCTGTGAACCCCTGGACACAAAACTACAGTTCGACGATGACGAAGACTCCTGCTAGTAGTAGTGAATCCTCGGCTCTGCTGCCAGCAAATAATGGCACTCCAAAACCTTCTGTGAGGACGGCAGTCGCATTTACAGCAAATGTATCGCTCGCGATACTGGTACTGACTATTTTATCGGTGATATCCATGCGTTCCATGGGACTCATCATCAAATTCCTCCTGATACTGTTTTTGCTACTGGGTTGGGCATACTCCTTGCTCTGTCTCTATGGGCTGTATCTTTGGTGTCGTGGTGAAGTGCCGCTCACAAATTCCAATAAAGATGTTGATGGCAAGTATATTGTGACTACTACTGCAAGTACTAATGATCGAACCATTGAGTATTTTGTTTGGGGAAGTACCAAACCGAATGCCACCGTCACGGTCGTTTGTCACGGCTCCAATACCACCGGGAAATACTTCAACCAATACCTTTATCCCGCCAAAACCATGGAAGCTATGAATGTCAAGGTCATTTCTCCTTCTTATCCAGGTCATGGTGGTAGTGATGCACAGCCCTTTCGTGATATTACGGATTGGCCCAAAGATGATCTAGAACCAATTTTACTAGCCGAAGGAGTAGATACATTCATGATCCAAGGAAGTTCCTACGGTACGGCTCATGCCATGGCAGCAGCCTCATACTTTTCACCGGATAGATGCTTGGCCATGGGATTGAACGTTCCTTATCTGCCGGAAAACATTTGTCGCGAATTTGACTTGCACACCGATGCCGACTACATCTTATCGGAATCCAGTCTATCACATCCTTGGATCCTCCTTCCTATTCTGTCGCTTTTGTCATTAACGTACACACAAATTGCCAAGGGCGTCGGAATGATTGCAGAAGGACCAGCCGCCATGGAACAAATTCCAGCAGTGATCAGAGCTTTGGAAGCCGATTGTCGACGATCCTTTTTGCGAGGACCCATTGGCCAAGCCTATGAAATGCTCAATAGCAGTACCAATCAACAGTGGCCCGATCCACGCGACATTCAATGCCAAAATGTCGCCATCTGGTATGCAGAAGATGATGGTGCTTGTCCACCCGACCATGGAGAATGGCTTGCGGATGTGTTTACCAAGAAAGAACGAAAAGAGAAAACGTGCAAGACAAACATTCGACACGAGAAAAAGGGATTGGGGCACTTTACGTATATGGACCATGCTAGCCGAGACCAAGGTATCATGACAGAGACATTGCTGGCCATGATCTTGGACCAACAATGATAAATTTTGCAGCACATGCAGCTATAGTGTCTGTGTTTATCCAATATTTCTATATCATACTTGGTGGAACGACCGGCTTATTTGATTATGTTCATGAGGTCTCCAATGTGTTTCTATCAGACCGTACCGGTATACCGACCCTTTGGTATGAAGCAAGACTTCAATTTTCGAATTGACAACAGTGCCCAACTGTCGCCGGATCCTTGTAGAGGGTGATGAGAGGACATGCTAAGCCTATGACAACATGTTCATACACCCTCTTGATCGATCGCTACGGCATGACGAAGTAAGGGTGGTAAGCAACAAAATTCGTGTTGTTATTTTGCGATTTACTCAAATTTTTTGAAAAAGTGAGACGGTTCCATTTCCAGTGAGGCTCGGCTGGCGAGTCATGCTTCCGGTCATCTCATTTTTTCGAAACACACTAAGTCACACTTCCGCGAAATAAAGAAATCCACGATCGCACCATCACAAAGACAAAAGCCTGTTATTCCCCGAAGCACTGTTTGACCACTGAAGTGCATCCCCTAACCAGTGTAAACAGACGCTTTCCCTCACAAGCAGTCCACCATCGAACCAGTGACATGAGTTGCCGTCACCAAAGATGCCACCCTTCACAAATTCCAGGAAGATCCGATGATCGGGAGGAAAGATCGCAACGGAAGATCCCGACCGAAGATCACGAGACCATCATCCCGTGGCCAAACCAGAGCCACAAACTCAATATAAAGACAACCAACTACACCCCACAAACACACAGCCACCATCCCCTCCTATTGCATGCCTTGCAACACTCACTCCTCCACTTCATCCTCTTCACCAGCATCCTAAAATGGCAACAGTTCCAGAGGAGTTAGAAACCAGTCCAATAAAATAGGCAACAATAACACCACAAGCTTACCTCATTTTCCTCTTCCTCGTCATCCTTTGCCGCATGCCGCTTTTTGGAGTCTTCAATAAGCAATTTCCGGCCCGCTTCAGCATCAGGATGAGTCACACCCTTGTATTCGTACATATCTCACTTGCGACAATACCATTGTGCATTGACTAGTCTAGGGATCTAAGAGATGTAAAGTTTGTATTTCCAAATAAGTGAGCAGTTATTGATTATTTTCTAGAATAAAGCTGCCTTCTGTCAAAGCCCTCAGCCTGTCGACCAGCCACTGTACATGGAATTGCCTCATACTATCGACCCAAAGGTATAAGGAAAGGACTGTGTTTGAAACTTGACAAGTCCATCTATGGGCAGACCGATTCACCTAAATTTTTTATGAGCATCTATGTCGGGATGATCCAACTTGGTTTCGAAACCTCGGCAGCAAGACCCATGTTTGTTTATTCATAAGGAGCATCACTCATGGTATTAAATTATTGTGATGACCAAATCTGGCTCAGTCCAGACAATGATCTGATTGAGTCCTATGTTGGGCAGCTCCAGAAATTGGATATGACCTCACCATGGAAGAAAAAGGTGACATCTTTGGATTCCTCGGCATTAATTTGAAAGACAGGGAGACAATTTGAGCTTACTCAAAAAGGGCTCATCAAAAGGTCATCGAATATACTGGTATGTTGACGCTAGCAAGAAGCTTTCTCCTGCCGCCACCGATCCTCTGGAGCTGACAAACTGGGGCCCCATTTGAGAAGAGTGGAGCTATCCAGCTGCAGTTGGATTCTGCTTTATATTGCGTCGAACTCTCGCCCAGACATCACTTTTAGTGTGCACCAGGTGGCACGATTCAGTCCACATCCCAGGCATTCCCATGCTCAAGCAATCAAACGTATCATTCGGTTCTGATTGGCACAAGTGACAAAGGCTTTGTTTTAGCCCTAAACTTATCAGGGACTTGATTGTTGGGTCGATGCTGACTTCGCCGGATTGTATGGATATGAGGATGAACAGGATCCTGTGTCCGTCAATCTCGCACTGGATTTGTCTTGACTTTGTTTGGGTGCCCTATCATCTGGTCCAGCAAGCTACAGACTGACATTACTTTGAGCTCCACTGCTCTGAGTATGTTGCCTTCACATGTCAATGAGGGAGCTGCTTCCTATGCGAGCTTTGCTCAAAGAAATTGGTAGCAAACTGAATATCCCGGAATTACTGACCAGTTCGTGCGCTCTACAGTGTTCGAAGACCCAAGTTGTTTTCTCTTGTGAATGTTCCCAAATTCTGCGCGCAACAAGTATTTTGGCATTAAAGTACCACTTCTTCAGGTCCAATATCGGGGAGTCGAAGGGCATCGTGGCAGTATATTCCACTCTGGAACAACGGGCCGACATTTTCACTAAGGGTCTTCGGCTCCACACAGTTTGCTGTCATTCGGAAGCTCCTCATGGTATGGTAATTTACCTCAGCACTTTGCTGGGGACTCTCTCCTATCGTTTCTTGCTCCAGCTTCATTTCAGCTGTAAGGGAGTGCGACGGGATACAGCTTACAGTTCAGCTTTACAGTTTACAATTAGCAGCC